ATTTTATCCCCCCCCCATTAATGTATACCAAAGAGGAGCCAGGGACCAAATACAACTTCCTTACCCAATATTTAGTCACTTAATGTGAGTTAGGTACTCTTTGCATCCAGCGAAAAATTTGGGCATTAGGTAGGTATTATTGATTTGTGTCCTAGCTATTCTACTCCCACTCTCACAACCCATGCGCCAGTGGGACGTCAATAATGCATTTGAATGCCTATAATCCTTCCATAATGGTTTAGAAGGCCCAACATCCCACAGCAAGCCAGACAATTAACTTGGGTGAACATGCCACCAAAGACCGCTCATACATATCTCAAACGAAGATTTGGTAAGATTTAGAGTAGCTCGTGTAATTACCTTTTCAGCTCCTCTTGGCTATTCTTGATCAGTTATTCCATGTCAAGTGGATAGTATGTTTATCGGATGCCAAAGTGCCAGTGTTCATGACAGATGTCAGATGACGGACGACATGTCCCTACCTCTCGCACCACATTTGTTGAATATGGAAGGCAAGGCGATATAAAAGTGAAAAAATTCTAGGTTTGCACCTGAGAGACTCACGATGCATGATGCGCCACACCATTGGACTAATACGTAGCATCATTTAATAAAGTGTTTATTGTACACCTGTATGCGCGCTGAATACAAAAAAAGAAAGTGCCGCACAATTGTCCACAAGTAAGGAAAGTTAATTTTTAACTGTGTAAATGCTAATTCATGAAGCTGCGCGAGGCACTACTGATAATCAAAAAAATATTTTGTCATTTTTACTTATTATCAATATTACACTTAACTGTGATTATCACAAATAAAAGAGACTGCAAATAAAATTATTGCATTATTATTTATGTTACAAATACTATTATTACAAGTAAAAGAGGGCTTTCGTACTTTGTTTCAGTATGAGCAAAAAAGGGATAGCAGCCATCCTGCATGTTGGCACTGGTATTTCAAATTGACACAACTTCTTCACTTTCCCTGGATGAAAGAGCAGGTAACGCATGAACTTGTCAGTTGACAGCCGCGCACGTGGGTTATAATTTTGACGCAATCGGTAATTTAGCAGGAAATAATGGCCGCAGATGAGGCTGGCACACCAGTTGGCGTGTCTGGGAACGGAAACACACATTAATTATCATGAAGAGGTGAGGTGGTCGTCATATTTACTCAGATGGCGTACTAGCTGAGCGTCCACTTGCGCTTGTGAAGTGGGTACCGCTGAAACTGTCCAGTGGCATGTGTAGATATGTTGTGCAAATCTTGAAATACGAAAATATTATATATTGTGCTTGCGCCGTTAGGTTCTTGCGACCATAAGCGATCGTAGCCTCTTTGATTAGGTGGCACCTGCTAATTATTGGACAAATGTAGCTGTGATATGATCAATACTTTGATGAGCCTTCTTTGGTTTGATGATGTATTCCCGACAATGTATTCAGCAATGCAATGTATTCCCGACAGGCAACAAGCTACGCCAAGTATCTTGGCTCTTACTGGTTTCTGGCCACTTATGGCACCTTTTGTGTAATAGAAATTAAGAGACAACTAAAATTTAACGTGCTCAAAGGAACCAAATTTGCTGTTAGATTTTACAAGCTGCGAAGTGTGGAAAAAATTGGCACAAGTTTGCTCCATAGTTTTCTGCTGAGTCAAACCGGATCGGATCGGATTGAGAAATCCGAGAAAAGCGGATCGGTGGGCGAATGGGATCTGGACTATCTGGGCTGGACCAGACCGAATCCTGAACATGTGATCAATGAAGCGTTCTACATCGTACATGTGTGAATGTAAATAAGAGTGCAGGTTAGGTCCATTTTCAGGAAAATTTGGCATTTGACCTGCTGTAATGGGGTCAATTATTGACCTAGCAACATCAAACTTACAAAAAATGCCGAGATCTCATCAAGACCAATGAACTGTTTTTTTTTCTGTTAGGCTCTTCTTATATTTTAAATCTTGGATCTTCCGTGATTTGAAACGGCAGAGTGGTTGCACCGATTTCCCTATCAGTCCGCGGAATGAAAAATGGCGAATCAGGGCAATGGTCGAATCAAATGCAGCTCCAACGCGACGCATGAATTTCGAGGCGCATAATCACTGCATTACTGAAACATGTACCAAATTTGAGCACTCGATATTTTCCGCAAGGAGAGAAGTCCAACGCAAGAATGAGTACATATAGTCATATCATTTATGATATTGATAATTGTATTAACCACATCAACACTAACACTTTTACTTGTGATATTATATCACACTGCAGGAATGGCATGTGACTGAGGGCAACCTTTCTCCAACATCTTTTGTCTAGGTGTGTTCACAACTCCTGACTAGTCTGATTTGAGGCGATATTGTTTCTGTTGGTACTAATCACACTAAGCATCTGAAAAATGTAGAACAAGGTGGAAGCACGTAGTTAATTTTCCTGTCACATTTGATCACATGATCGAATGCTCCTTTATTATTCATTTGAATGTGAATATATCATCACGCGCCTGGCCGGGGGTCTGAGACAACGACGCCCGCCCAGCAGGGGGGTGGGGGGGGGGGGGGGGACTTTCCACCGGGATCTTCTATTTTCAGACACCGTTTGAGAGAAAATATGCATTTTTTAAGGCCTGGTCAGGTCATTAAGAATGCCACCAGATATTTTCCTCAGGTCAAATGCAAGCTCACCAGAGATCACGAAAGGCCAAAAACAGTCGTTCCGACAGATGCAGTTAAAACCTAAGTGAACACATCAAGACGGATATGGGGTGCATAGAAATAATCGTTAAGACTGTGTTGACTTCATTCCGTCCATTTCTGTTCTCCCACATGGGTCAGGCTAGATCAGGTCACCGTTCAAAATTGATATACAAGTAGCCTACAATAACGATAGTTTTCACAATGCGCTTCTGATCAGGTTTACTTTATTGGGTGCAGATGTAGGGCAAAAGTATTCCAGACACAAAAATGCCACGTTGGGCTGACCCTAATCTGTGGCCATCTTTGGCCAACCTAGGCCCAATTCATAAATTATCCAATTAAAAAAATTGTAGCGCTAACCGAATCCATCTGACCAGCACTATGTTTTTCTGTGTTCAGAAATAGTGTATTGTATATCTACAGGAACTCAAGATGGCATGACTGTTGTCTACATTGTACCTAGTCCCTTTGACGCATGACAATATATTTGTAGCAAACTACGAAGAGTTACATTTATGCTATGAAATATGCGTCATCAGATTCACAAACACGATAAGGGGATGGTTACAAGCGTCGCACGCGTTCATCTAGCCTCTCTGCTACTGACAACATAAATGATTGACCTTTGATGATCTCAAATGGCCTTGCATGTTCTCACTCGACCTACTGTGACCCCATTACGCATTAGAGTGATAACACAACATATTTCAGTGGAGTATTCCAATTCTGTGTACAAATTACGTAATAAAGCTGCCTATTTTGAACTTAACATGTACTTTGCAGAATGTACCTATGGAGTTAGGTCATGACCTAGGCCGAGGTCATATGATCTGTTGTCATATGAAAGCTGAGCATTATGTTATTACTTTTTTCCTTGCATACAATCGCCAAAATTACAAAAAACGTACAAATTTGCACTATTCACGAAAAATGCATAATTCACCTGACTCCACGTCACCGACCTCGCCTTTCCCAAATAGTCTGATACATACAACATGCTGGTACTATTATGTTTTATTAATAGGGCAAGTTTTTAGTGCAAATGACTCGCAAAAAAGCTATAGGTGGTCATAGTTAAATTAAGTTAATTCATTAAGTTTTAGTTAAAAGTGTTAAGTTTAAGTTTAGTTGAAGTTAAGTTTAGCTTTAAGTTAAAGCTATTTAAGTAAAGGTAAGTGAAAATTACATAATAGTTAATTTAGATGATGATTTTTTTGAATTGTGGGGAATTGTTGAAAGTGCATTACTGGACTGAGTGTGTTCCGCAGTAACATTGTTATCTTCATATCGCACCTGGAAGCAGAGAAAAGCTTCTGTTCCCACACTATATTACGGTAATCGACTGACATATTTGTAAAACCACTCCCTTGAGGTGCATTTGAAGATTGCTCATGTTCAGCATAACAACCCATACCATCAAGGATATCAACACAGCAGGGCCAAGCAATCAACAATCAGGTGGCTGACCTACGAAGCACGGGCAGCGACGCATAATTATGACGCGACTGCTGATGTATGGGGTCAAATCAGGTAGCATTGAACCCCACTCAATTCCAGATTCAGTTTGTGGCAAATTGGGTAAGACAATGCCGCCGATTTCCTGCCAGCTTATTCCAATGAAGAGTGGAGATCATGCCTACTAGCTGAAGATCTGATATCCACGAAACGTCTCATGCATATAATGTTTTTGACCGTTGGCCCCTTGCCTCCGTACCCCCGTGTCCCTTTGCGAGCTTGGCACCAATTTTCGCCTGATGGGTGATCAGGTAGCGTGGTGGTTGTCCAAGGGAGAACTAGCGAGGAGTCCGTTCGACAACACTTCTTTTTAAATAACCCCACTAGAGATGTGATGCGAAGACATCGAATAAGCATCAACCGACGAACGCATGGTTCCACTCGGCGGCAGGCCCGCCGCACCGCAGACGCACGCGTTATTTGGTGCGGACGACCGGCGGCCGCGTGGCATTGACGCTGTGACCGCCAGATTGTAGCTAAGAAAGCTGCTGCCGGAGCAGCGCCGTTCTGCGTGCATTTGACGGCCTGCTTTCTTATTAGGCACACGAAAAATTGTTCGCTTGCATTGCTTCGCTCTGCCCATATTTAAGAAAAATGAGTGCCCATCGACAGCGGGATGTTAAGCTGAGTACAACGGACCAGGTTTGAGCATACGCAGCCATATCACCGGGCCAGGTCCATAGCTGCTCAGACGGCAAAAAGGCGTATTGATCGTATTTCAAACGGGCTGGAGGTACCGGTAGTACGAGCGGTGCCAGCTACGCAACTTTCGGGCGGGAAATTGAGCTGCGCCGTCACAGCCGAGTGTCGTCGGTGATGGTGTTGTCCTTCAGGGATCGCCGCCGCTGCTCTTCCTGCTGCTGGGTGATTCGCCTTGAGTGGCTGTACCATTGCTCGGTGGGCGTCAAGGACGAGCGCACGCGCTGAAACGCACAAGCAACCTTCCGTCAAAGTGGCACTCGTTGGCCTGTGATGCCCATCTACCCTGGTGCTGATTTCTTTCTGATAGGGCTCATTGCATGTAGCAATAAGCACAAGATAACGCTACATTTAGGCTGTCTGGAACAATATCTTGTCAGGTTTAGGTTTTACTGCTTTTGCGGCGAGGACGTCTGGTTCATCAGGACTGAGAAGTTGGTTATGCTGTTTCTAAACAATTTCGGAAATCAATAAATGCTGAGTTGGTTACAAAGAGCGGTGAACAATCAAATTGTTTTTAATCAATCTATTAGGAAAAACAAATCTCAGAAGCCCCGGCACGCATTGGACAGCATGGCCGACGACATTTCCGGTCGACACATAACTGCTAGTGTCCATTCTCATCAATCAACTACTCGGCTGTGCCAGCGAAGATCATTCCAGCAGGCCACTCACGCTCAGCAGACTCCCCGTCTGTTGGAACACGACGTTGAAGGCAGCGCCCAGCGGCAGAGGAAGAATGCAGAAGCCCAAGAAGGAGGACCCTAGAATGTTAGCCCACAGCGGGTACACGTAGCCACCGGACTCATACGGTTTGAAGTCTGTCCAGCTCATCGCCATGATAGCCTGCGGATGGTGAAATCGATTGTCCACCTGCCTCGCCATCGCCGGTTATCGTTGACGTTCAGTTTAGGGTCTCACAGTGAACGATACATGCCAAAGTTAGAGGTCGCCCCGGTTACGTGTTCGGTAAGCCTTCGTCCCTGAATATCAACGAATTCCTTTTCTGTCATGCACGTCAGCAACAGCAATGCTGGGTGGACTGACGGCTCTATCGTTCACCCGCGACGAGACCCGGTAACGTCGGTCGGCCGTGGCAGTGCCGCTGTCATGGCGCCAGGAGAAAGCCACATCAACTCACGCCGACCAGAAGGGGCGCTACCGTTCCGTACAGCACGGACATGTGCGCCGTTACACGGGGGCCTGGCCAGCGGCCCGTCATCGCCTCCAGATTTGACAGAAAGTTGTCGAAGCCGTAGATGTAGTACAGAGCGAGCAGCTTGAGCAGGCAGATCAGCAAGATGGGTCGTCCTGCGATGTAGTAGTCGAGCAGGTCCACTATGTGTCGACCTCCCTGGCGTGCATGGAGCGGCGATGTCGTCGATGGCAATGTTATGTGCCTTTTATGGTGGTCATCAGGCTATGGTGGTAAATGGAATGACATCGATTCTGTTTACGGAATAGCCTCGCTATCAGGTGTTACGAGTAATCCCGGTATGGGCATACTGTGAGCATGGTGACCCAGTGACGAATACCAGCAGCGGTACGAAGCCGCTCACTATCCTCGTCATCTGTCCCCGGTCCAGCACGTCTGCTGTCCTCAGACCCAAACGTCCGCTGTCCTCGACCAACACGTCCGCCGTCCTCGGACCAACACGTCCGCTGTCCTCGGACCAACACGTCCGCTGTCCTCGGACCAACACGTCCGCCGTCCTCGGACCAACACGTCCGCCGTCCACACACCCAAACGTCCACCGACCTCAGACCCACACAATCGTTGTTCTCGGACCAACACGCTCGCTGTCCTCGGACCCACACGTTCTCTGTCCTGGTGCCCAGATGTTCGCTGCCCTCGGACCCGTCCGCTGTCCTCGGATTAAAACCGTCCGCCGCCCTCGGATTAAAAACGTCCGCCGTCCTCGGATTAAAAACGTCCGCCGTCCTCGGATTAAAACCGTCCGCCGTCCTCGGATTAAAACCGTCCGCCGTCCTCGGATTAAAACCGTCCGCTTGTCCTTGGACAAGAGCAGGCGGAACACGCTCCATGGACAGAATGAGAGCCCGCTAGAAGTTCCAGCCTGGAATGACCTCTGACTGCTTGCGTGCTCGCTATTCACGGGGTACTATTTGCCTATCAGCCAGCGGAAGTGGACGAAGAAACAGTTAATTCATATTAGATACTACACTGAAGTGTTAATGCGTCTACACTCCATCTTTACGGTAGAGTGTTTTAGCGAAAGAGCATCAATTTCCGTGGCGATTACCTGTGTAGAATTGACGAGGGATCCCAGGAACAGCGTGGTGCAGACAGCCAGGACCGCCCATGATTTCCTGGCCCGAAGACGTGGAAAGACGTCGAGAATGCTCGTGATCACGTTTTCGACACCCCCAAAGTGGGAGTCGATGCCGAGAGTGAAACACATCAGAAAGAACAAACATGCCCAGAGCGGTGAAACTGGAAGATGCGTCACCAGCTCCGGGTAGGCCACAAAAGCCAAACCTGTAACACAAACGGCAGATCAGTGCCTTGGCGTGGACGATGGCGCCTTGCTCGATACTCCCAAAAACTGGTTTTAACAACTAGCCCCGTTATGTAAGGAGTGAGAGGTGATTGCTCAGTCGTATTTTTTCCCGTTTTCTCCGAAAGGTGTTTGGAGCAGGCTGATGAAGGTATATGACTTTTCCTAAATATCCTCAGAACATGTGGCGTCAAAAATTTAAGGCAACTGGCATGCGCGGGGTTCCGGTTTTAGGATGAGCTTCTTGTGAAATTAGGCGATACTATTAAGATGGTGATCACCACAGGATTACGCGTACTGCCCTCGGTTTACAAGAGTTACTGCCGTTTCCGGCGACTGGCAAATGCACCATGAGTGAAAGTATGACAGCCAGTTTTAGGTCTCCGCAGATGAGGAGTTTCCACACAGTATAAAACGTATTGTTGGGCCGTCAATGCATCGAGACGAAAATATGACGTCATCTTGATGGAAAGATTTGCATGTTGCGCTAATATCCACACAAGAAATTATTACATACGGTCGCAAAGGTCTACTCAGGCGGATCCACAGGAGAAAGGGCGCAGAAGGTTGTAGTGCCATCCTAAGCCAGCACTACGGCGCTGTGAATGGATGATGGAGGACAACATACCAGCGTGTGAAGGAGGAATAGAGAAAACTCTACATAGATGAAATTTCCAGGGTTTCAGGTGTTAAGTGAGGCATGATTTGTGCAGGGCAGTCCCACACATTCACGGTGCGGGATCATGCATTGCTTTTTTCTTTCAAACGACACCTGATTTCCTCAGCCTAGTTCTATGCAGCTGTAATGTGGCGCCGCCACGCCCTGTGGCTGTGAATGCAATCTCGCAGACTGACACGGATTTAGAAGTTTTGACAGACCGGGGTGGAATGGATGCGCGATTTCGAGATTAGATTTCAGATTTGCACATCAATCCCATACAGCGGCAATGTGCGGCTCTATCCCGTCCTTTGACCTTGAAATTTGTTTATTGAGCTTTTCGACCAAAATCCTCGACTTTCAAGTGTGGCGCTTTCATAGCTCAGGGTAGAATAGAGGGCAGTTTTTTAGCGACAGCTGATTTATGCAGATTAGTCTCATATATTAGCAGCACGACCCAGTCACGTCCTTGGACCTAACATGTCAACTTGAATGTTGACCTTCATCAAAGTTTGCTAGGGGAAACTCAGGCTGGAATTGATACCTGACTCTCAAATGCATCACAATCAGGAACTTCCATCCCATACAGTGGCAATGCAGCGCTAAACCGTTTTTACCTTGAATGCGCCTTTTAACGTTGACCTGGATTTATCCGTACTTGGGGGTCAGACTTAATTGGATACCTGGCTTCCAGATGGTATCCAAGAGCACAGGTCCGTAGCAGCGGTACAATCGCGCAAGCCTAACTTTTGACCTTAAAATTTAGTGTTTTGAGTTTTTTAAACGGAACAAATGTCCTTGAACGGTGGCGTGTTGGATTGCACAAGCTGGTGCAGATGCCTGGCTTTCAAATGATTCCTAATCTGTTTAGATCAATCCCACATATTGGCAGTGCAGAATTACCCGTCTTTAACCTTGACATGTTGCATTCTATTTTAAAGCGGTAACTATCGGCCTTTAAAGTAGTTTGTTTTCGAAAGGTCAGGTTGCCCGTCATTTGACCTCAAATTGACATGCATGGTTGGTCATGATCAATGCGTTCTTGGAATGCTAGATTTGAATTTATAGCCACCATTTAGGTAACCTTATTTCAGTTTTTTAAAGCATGCTTGCTGTAATGTGTGTCGCTCTTTCACGGAGTTTGCTTCTGACTGTCATAATCTTTTTTTGGAAATAGCTTGCTTTTGACATGGCTACCACTTGACTTTGCTCTCCGACCACTTGAGGTCAATCTGTTAGAACAGAACAAAACGAACAGCATTTTTAACCGTATGGTGTTGTTTGAGCCTCATGAACACGGTTAAGATGGAATCAGAACACAACGCCAAATTCGAATACGAATATGTCGCTAACTTAACTCATGTTTTGGGAAGCAGCTTTACCGTGCTGAAAACCCCCTTTCGAGCACCAACTCTGGTGGTGAAATGGTGGTGAAAACCCACACGTTCGTCACCGGGGTATACGTCTATCCGGGATTGATCTCCAGCCGTGTGTGCGCACCTGATCCACTGGTGACCACGTCCTTGACAGGCACCTCCAGCTCGTGCGCCAGGAAACCCAGAGACGAGAAGATGGCGAACCCGGCAAACACGGACGTCAGGCTGTTACATACGCAGACGACCAGGGTGTCGCTGTAGGACAATGTCGCCGACTATCACGCACAGAGTCAGTGGCAACTGGTCACTATCACGCACAGAGTCAGTGGCAACTGGTCACTATCACGCGCGGAGTCACTGGCAACTGGTCACTATCACGCGCAGAGTCAGTGGCAACTGGGCACTCTCCCGGGCAGAGTCAGTGACAACTGGTCACTATCACGCGCAGAGTCAGTGGCAACTGGTCACTATCACGCCCAGAGTCAGTGACAACTGGTCACTATCACGCGCAGAGTCAGTGGCAACTGGCCACAGGCGCAGGGAGCCTTCACTCACTGGAGCACACGTGACTCTATGATGAGGGCTAGGGTAGCGTGAAGATTAAGGGCGTGCGGATCGAGGTACATCGTATGCTTCCAGCCAAGGGCGCAGCCAAGGGGAAGGAGCGGGAATCCCGACATCCCACTAACATTTCTTCACCGCGAATGACTACTGAGAGAATGTTTAAAATTGGTGTGATGTGTTCCCATCGAGATCTACAACCCCCCCCCCCCCCGTCTCATCCTTCATGTACAAGGCATTTTGCAATCATCGCCGATGTAGGGGATGGGGCGACGCTTCTGACGTTTGGACACATGGCGTAATAGCGGAAAATCTCCTGGCAGTGAACAGTGTTTCCAATGTATGCATGCGTGCATGATGTGTGCGTATCCGATGGCGGTCGTGAGCAAAAGACAGCACAGACATGACGCGCGCCTATTGATCTTCTGGCTTGAACAACGACATGCGCCCGTGCGTGCACGACACGTGCGCTGTCAGTCCTTGGCCTTCACTCATTGTCTGTCCTGTTAGCCTGTGCGTCGCACTCGTATACCACTGCCGCACTCTTGCCATGCTTTCCACACGCCGCCCTCCTGCATTTGCAGCGCCGCTGCTTCATTCTGTTCACAGCTTGATGTCGTCACTTTTTTGTACCCGCATTCCAGCTGGGTAGCCATTCACAGGTGACAGCGCGCACGTACGTTGTCTAAGCCGTGCGATGCGGAGGTGGACGTCGCGTGCTTGATTTTCAGAACAATCCCCGCTGCTAGTCTGGTTTTGAAGATCGTGCTGTCTGTGGGCCGGCACTGGATGGGCGGCTTCATGAGCGACAGGCCCAGCTGGCATGGTAGCATCTTCCTTCCGCCGTGCTGCGTGTCATCGTACAGCCTGGGCTTGCCTGCCAGCGCCAACGAGCTGCTCACACCGGCGATGTCCAGCAGCCACCATGAGCCATCATCTCGTTGGAACCCAGCAGGAGAACTGGTCGAGCATCTGATCGATGGTATTAATGCTGCTTTTGGTTTGGTTGCAGTACAGCATGACCTCCGGTTTTTACTTGCTGTCGGTGCCGGCTGTGAACACAGGCTTGCCGCGCCGTATGGGTTGAAGCAGCACGTTCTTCCCACTCCTCTTTGCGCAAGAGGTCAGTATGAGTCCCCCTGACCAGAAGAAGTTCGTGGGCTTCTCCTGTCGCCTTTCTCTTTTGTTGGCATCTGCCGGCAGGTGCCGCCAGGTCGGCATGACTGTGCCGACGTAGGTCAGGCTGTCGGCCAGCATCTCCTTGCCAGCTCCACGCCGGTGCAGTAGCCATCCGCCGTGACGTCGCGGCCGCTGTTCTTCAGCGGAGCCACGGGGCACTTCACGATGTTGACGGCGCTGGTCATGTGGAGTGCCTGGCCGCTCGGCTCTGCCGACGTGCATCAGCGTGTTTAGCATGCCCCTGATCTGGCAGTAACCATGATCCAGATGGGCAGCCCATATTTTGACGGCTTGTTCGGCATGTATGTGATGCAACTACAGCGACCCCCGAAGCCAGAAGCGTCTCGTCCACCGTGACGAAGTCGGACGGAGCTGCATGAGCAGAGCAATGCTCAGCATGTCACCGATAGTCGCGAACGTGTCCCTCGCCCGCCCCGGCTTTCGGTCGGCGCGACCGTCGAAGCAAGGGATGCGTACCAGAATCTTGAACCGGCCGACGGGCATCGTAGCTCAGCAGAAGGGCCTAGAAGACGGTCCACAGAAAAGGTTCTGGAGCTCGCACCGCCAGTAGAGCTGATGTAGAGCTGATACTTGCGAAGCAACAACAGGCCAATTAAAGCAAGCGGCTTCTGCTGGGTGACTGACGCATGAGTCTTCCTCTTTTGGAATGCCACCCTTCACTCTCTTCATTTCGGTGGTGAACAGGGGCGGATCCAGACCGGGGGACACGGGGCCATACCCCTTTGGGTCCGAAAAGGGCCTATAAGTTCCGAAGGGGCTCATACCTGGCCGAACAGACGCAGTTTTATTGACAAAATCGAAAGTCTTTTGGCCTCCAGGTGATCAAGAACAATTGCAAGTGACGGCGAAGGGCTCACGAGCAGACATAATAATTATTCACTGATTTAGAGGATGTTGAGTTGAGAGAGTCTAAGGCTCAATACGCTGCCCAGAGGCCCTACGCTGTTCCTATGGCGCTCTATGTGCCCACTTGCCGGGTAAATCCGGTCGCCGAGGAGCCTTTCTCGTTGCCCTTGATTTATTTACATTTGCTCAGAGGGCCCAACGCTGTTCTCGGGGCCCTTTTCTGCTGGCACGCTGGGGCACTCTTGTCGATCAGGGCGCAACCACGGATTCTGACAAATCTCGGCAAGGCTTTACATGCTACACTCGGGGCTCCATATGTTAAACTGCCGGGATATTCTATGCTTCTCAGAGGCCTTCCACGTTGGTTTCGGTTAACCTACCGACACACTCGAGATATGCTAGTGGGCTTTTTACATTGGTCTAGGGCTCTCCCAATTCCGTGCCACTGGCGGAGGGCTCTATCGGAGCCACCATCTGCTAACCAGCTCGGGCTTACTCGATCGCTCGGGGGCTCTTCACACTGGTTCTTAAGCGCTTCTTATTTGGAGGGCCCTACGCTCTTGTCGGGGTCCCCTTTATTAAACTGCGCGAGCACACTCGATCGTTCGGGGCCCATCACACTCAGTCTTGGGTGCTTCCTGTTAGCTTTTAAGGGCTCTACGCTCCTGTCGGGGGCCCACCTGTTGGCCTACTCGGGCACACTCGATCGTTCGGGGCCCTCGCCATTGGATCTTGGGTACTTCCTATCTGAATGGAGGGCGCTATCATATTAGGAACTTTGTATTTGCTACCACGCCTGGGCACTCGTAATCAATCAGGGGCCCTCCATTCACTCTTCATATTTGCCCAAAAGTCTCTACATGCTTTGCCGAGGCTCCATACGCCGTGGTGCACTCAGTTGTTCAGGAACCCTTCATATTAGTATTGGCTGCTTTCCACTTGCTCGGAGGGCCCTGTGCCCTTGCTGGGGCCCATATATCGTAATGAACCGAGGCACTGGATGCTCAGAGGCCCTCTTCATGGATCTTGGGCTCTCTCCCATTTAGCTGATTTGCGGAGGATCCTCTACTCTCGTCAGAGCTCTTTCTGTTAACCTGCCCGGGCACTCTTGATCGCACAGGGACATCAGTTCATGTGCACTGGTCTTGGGTTATTCTCATTTGCTTAGAGGTTCCTGTGCTCTGGCCGGGCCGTATATGTTAGCCTGCCGGGGTACTCCCACTTGTTCAGGGCTCCACCATATTGGTCTGGATTGTGGCTCCACCATATTGGAGAATAACCTACTTCTCGCTTCCTCTGAGGACCCTACGCTGTTGACGGGGGCCTTTTTGTTGGTCTGCCGCGGCACCCCCGATCGCTCAGGTGCCGTCCCTATTGGTGTAGGGTATCAAATGAGGGCCCACGCCGTTGACGGCGACCCAAATTTTAATAATGATTGTGGTTTTACGTCTCCATGAGTGCGAGGGATATTTTGAAACAGATGCCTTTATTAGGTATCATAAGGGATGCGGTGGTGACGTGGCCGGGGCCCGAATCCCAGACCAGCAGGTATAGAGTAGAGCTCCCTAACCATCCTACCACCCCCGCCCCGGACCTGAATGTTCATCGGTCGGGACACTGTCGATCGCTCCGGGGTCCTCCACCTTGGTCGCGGGCTCTTCCGATGAAGTCAATATTTTATTTATGGCCGAAAGCCCCACATGCACTTGAGGGCGCCCGGGCCTTTCTCCTGCTGGTGCATAAGGGCCTGACTAAACTAATTCATGTCTGAGATCTGAGTCTGAGATCACAAGATGACAATATTCCCATGGGCCTTAGCCTTACAGTAGCAGCCGGATCTGTGCTGATGAATTCTTACACGTAATTGTCGAACATAATTTCTCGCGTCGCCCATGTCGTGCAGGCATTTCCGTTGGTTATTAAATTCGTGACATTCATCACACTTGTGCGGAAGCTCTTAATGCATGTTGAATGGTAGGGTATTTTACACTCTTTCATAACAGTCAAAGCAAACTCTCTTCATTAGTCATCAGCTGATCACATTGATTAGCCGGCCAGCCGTGAATAAGCTGGGAATCAAGTTTGTGCTGATGGCACTTCGCAGCGAACTTAAGTGCATTTTGCCATGTTTTCTTCGAAATATTTGGCCTAAAAGCAACAGGATCCACCATGATCTGAGCAAAGTTAACAAGCTCTATGCATTTGCATACGCAGCAAGCCTAGTTTTCTAGTGCTGCTCACGTTTGGATGGGTTCCCGTATACAAAAAGCATATATAAAAACATTAGAATGTAATGACGGGAATAAGAGGACTTTTGGGGGAGGGACCCAAACTCAAGGGGCTTCCATACTGTTGCACGTCTCCCCCTTGACGAAATTCTGGATCCGCCCGTGGTGGCGGATTATTTTTTCAGACAGGCTAAGTGGCAACAACAAACCCAGAGCTTGGGTTGTACTTTCCTCGTCCCCACGTATGTTGGTGCTCGCGGCACGGACGCGGTAATTGGGCGGCTCGGTCGACCATATCCTGTCGGTGCGGGCCGGCACCTGGATACTGTGCTGCTCCACTCTCAGGAAACCCCCTGGCCGCCTGTCCGAACCTCTTCGTCTTCATCTGAGCTGTCATCAGAGAAATCACCGGCCGGCGCTGGAGGAGCTGCCGGTGATAGCGGAGCTGCCGGCGATAGTGAAGCTGTCGGCGGTAGAGGGTCTGCCTGGGGTGGAGGAGCTGCCGGCAATAGCGGAGCTGCCGGCTTTGGAGGATTTTCCGGCGCTGGAGGAGCTGTCGGCGATAGCTGAGCTGCCGGCACTGTAGGAGCTGCCGGCGGTAGCGGAGCTGCTGGCGATAGCGGAGCTGCCGGCTCTGAAGAAGCTGCCGGCGCTGGCGGAGTTAACCGCGCTGGAGGGGCCGCCAGCGCTGGAGGAGCTGCCGGCGTTGGAGAATTGCCTGCGCTGGCGGAGCTGCCTGCAATAGCGGAGCTGCCGATGCTGCGGGAGCTGCCAGTGATGGCGAAGCTGACGGTGCCAAAGAAGCTGCCGTCGATAGCGGAGCTGCCGGTGCTGGCTTATCTGGTGGCGCTTTCAGCGCTGTCTCGCTCTCTTACAAGGCCGTTGTCGGCTGAGATCTCCGGTTCGCCTTCAATGCCAGCTTCGTCAGACGACTCTGAGAACAGTGGACTTGTTGCCCCGAGGACAGCCAACGTGTTCATGAAGAGGCACTGTATCTCAGCGGCGGTTAGAGCATGGTTAGCATAACCTCGTCTTGTACCTGATGTTGATGCTGCCGGGCTGGCCGCCGGTTTCTGGCATCATTTTCTCCGCGGTGTCTTCAGCGCCCCACACGGTCGTACACGGTCTATCTCACCGGCGTTGTAACCAACCACAGCTGAGCATGTTATTCCGCGGTCGATCGGCTCCGTGCAGCCAGCGCGTGCCTTATCTTGTTTCTTTTTCAGTTTCATGAGTCGGCGTGTGCGATGCCGAACAGGATCTATGCGATCAGCGAAACGGCCTCAGCTGCAGAAGCGCTCTGGAACACGCAATCGATATGACCTTTCAGCTATGTTGAATGACAGACGTTACCACGACCGCCGTGTGTATGGTGTACTCAGGGACTCAAGAAAACCCAGAGAACATGAGAAGTATTGCTGGAGGTCAACCCAGGGCAGGGACTTTGAATCATCTTCGAAAGGTCAAGAGGCAACGTGCAAATGTAAGTCCAGATAAATTCGGGACAAGCATGCATCTTTACGAAAAATTGGAATCAGGAACAACGTAGCCCATTTCAGTATTGGATGCTGCCGGGCGCTCACCAGGACAATCGCCTCTCTGCTCCATCCAGTGTATGAATATGTGCCTTAAAGGTGGCATCTGCTTGTTGGCTCGAGACACGCTTTGGCGTCTTTTAGGCATTTTAACGTTGAGTTATCATACCGGGCCGAGTTTTCTACACACCTTTAATATTGTTCAGCTGCGTTAAGGAAATGCTGACATCAGTGTCACACACCGTATGACGTTGTTGTTGAACCTGTTGTAGCTGGCGTAGGTCATGAGGCCGCCACTGCCGGCGCTCAGTGAGAAGAGCATCTGTGAAGCGGCCAGCTCCCATGTGCGAATGTCATGAAACTTGCTGAAGTCAGGTGACATGTAGAAGCTGATGCCGTCCATGGCACCTGGCAGCGTGATGCCACGGACGAACAGGACTACCAATACCACGCACGGGAAGATGACTGTGAAATAAACCACCTGCCAGGCATAAATGATCAAAAGTTGACCGCTTGTTAAGGGAAGAACATGTTAAAGTACACAACGGGCCGACAGAAAATCATTTTAGAGTACACAACACTTTACTGTGGAATAGTTGGCTGCTCAACATAAAATCGAACCCCTCTGAGTACCAAGTACAGACAAGTGGTACCGTGACAGGAACGGTGGTACCGTGTTCAGCTCGGTATTGAACTGTGAACAAGTTGAAATATTGACTTCTTCATGCCGAGTAGGCCCGTCTCTACGAGAGCCAGGATGTAAGTCATTCGATATGCTAACATAAAGATGTACTGTTATCCAGCTGTGAATCAAAGCTGTGAAGGAATTGAGAAACGAGGCACTCCTTCGTCTAACGTCGCCTCTACCCGTAGTGATAGAGTGTGGCAGAGTGTCAGACATCCGATAACTATGTGGTACATTTGTGAGTTCGTAAGCAGAAACAGCTCTAAGTGATTCGTCCCTTAAGGCTGATAAGTAACTGACGAATAGAAACAGGCCGACCCGAGGCGGTCACCGTGTCACGATATTGGAAAACACGATAATAAAACTTGGAAAAATTAAAGTTTACCTGGAGTGGTTCTACTGGTGATGTGGGGTCACAGTGTTTAGGACAGGGCATGTGCTTAACAACCACGTGGTCATAAACCATGATCCCAAAGTTTGGGACCCAGACCCAGCCGACCACAACGCTGGAATATATATCTTAAAAGCAAACAGGTGAATAAAAATTAAGCTGCCAAAACAAATCGAAGCACCGAAAAAATCCATAATTATTTTGTCAAGCGTCGGGCTAGTTCACAACTTGGTCCTTTTCGGCTCTTGATGAATTTGAAAGCAAGATAAAAAATGACGTCACCACTGAGCTACAATCGGTGCGACTTCCGTCAGCTGCCATGCATGGGCTGATGAAGAAAAATGACAGACCTTTGACTGTCCTTACACCGTCCGGCCTTACCATGCTTGTCTGCACTCAACAGTCCGTCTGCGGGAGTCACCTTGCCGGAGGACTTGATGCCCTTGCTGAGCGTGGCGAAGATGACCAGCCAGGTAGCTAACACGGCCAGAGCTAGCCCCCACTGGATGCTGCCCAGCTCGCTCACGCCGCTGCTCAGCTTCAGCACCCGACGCTCCAGGTATTCCTCAGGAGCTGAGGCGGTGGAGATTCCGGGTCATCTCCTGACGCTCCAGGTATTCCTCAGGAGCTGAGGCGCGCCCCGCACGCTCATCAGCATGCGGGCGCCCCAAGAACTATAAAGGAGCTGTCGTACCCCATACGATCAACATGCGAGCGCACCAAGTACTCTTAAAGAGCCGCCGTGTGTGAACGCGCGTCACTTGTTTAACGTGTGCGAGCAGAATGTCACAGCACATTGGGCTTGAAATCTTAGCTTCTGGGGTAGCTCTCAAACATATAGAATATCCCCAGGTATGTAGCCTCACTACCTCAATGCCACACTCTCCCGGTGGGATTTCTTGGTCAAGCTTACCCTACCTCTGTTGCAGAGAAGGTGGCTTGGTCACTCTCACCTATCATCCTCTGCCATCGTGGGGTAGGACGGTACTCCTCAACCCACTCTCTCCGCGAGACAATATCCTGACCGCCCTCACCTATCATCCTCTCCCCTCGTAAGATGGGATGGTCCCGTTCACCTCACTCTCTTTCTCTCTCTCCGCGAAACCATAGCCTAATTGCCCTGACCTGAAACCCTTTCTGCTGGTGGGATCGTCTGGTTGACGTGCAGCTGCTTCGCTTGGCTCCGATTGTGAATGCACTGGCCGTGGTTGTAGATCCACCAGCTGCCATTAGCGTTCTCCGACTGGCATGCGTCGAACGCATTCCGGCTAAAGCACGCTGCAAAAGGTGGATCGTGGAACTGAGCGAAAGGTAGGCGTTCATTCATCGTGTCAACCGTGGTTAATTGTTAATAGTAAACGGGAAAAGATATCGTATCCAAACTGAAACCAAAATGTCAGAAATATTACGTTAAGCGTTTGGAAACGTTCCGTTAGAGCCGGCCAAAAATTGACAAAAATTTTTGACTTCTGCGTATGCATAATGCTACATGGGAGTGTAAAGATTCGACACATTCCATGGCAACGAGGTTCTGAAGATGTCTTCCATCGCTCCGCCGAATTAAGGCGATAAGCACTTCAGTGAGCGCTGCTTATGGACGTGTTAAGAATGCTGTTTGCAGCGCCCCGGCGCACGATAGACTGTGGGTCAGTGCTGTCTCAGTTGAAAAAAACGATTTAATAAGGCGAAAATTAAGCACAGTCTGCATTAAAATAAACGCCCCTGACGGAGCCGCTTAGAATATGTTCATATTGCGGGACAAAATAAGTGCAATATTACCTAAAGCCATTTGCATCTTCACGCCTGTCGTAGTGCTCTCATTTCCACTCATTACGGGGCCGTGCAATGGTGTGAGAAATTTATCATGCTTTCTGCAAGAGAGCTTCGATAGCGGTGAGCTGGCGAGCATGGCAATACAATGCCAGCCCTTTGAAGTGCGTTCGGGATTCTTACCCGCGGTGTTGTACTCGTTGTTGCAGTACTGCCACGGCAGGTCGCTGGCCATGCTAAGGTACAGGTAGTACAGGCACCACGCTATCACTATGGTGAAGTTGCAGGAGCTGATTGCGTTGGCAAAAATCATCGCAAAGCCGAAACCTGAAAGTAATTTATGTGGGTATTTTCAGAAGAGGTACACGTTGCCATGTGAGGCTAAAACATTAGGGCACAGCATATTTCACGGTTAGACGAGGTTGTTGGTGTCAAATCAAAATGTACAATCCGTTTCATCACTGCACCTATGAAAACAGTTGAAAGGCACATCACCAAGGGTATCCGATAACACAAACCTCGTCGTATTGGTGCATTTTCACATGCAACCTACAAACGGTGCCTCAGAGACCCTCTCCACACTAATAAGTATGGGGGTAATATGGATACTAGTATGACAAGAGCTAAGCAAGCTACAGACACGCCGGAAATACCATTGCCAACAATAGAAATACAAAATATCCTGGAGACTGTAAGCTTTGAAGGGAATGTTTCACAATTGAGGGCAGTAAAGAAGCCATCAAATATGATACAATAGCTTGCTATAACTATTAATGTACTTTAAAGTGGTCTGTGTGACCAGTACGATGCCTTTCTATGGCCAGAAAGAGTGTATTGGACATCTACATGTACTCAAGATTGCATAGATGTTTACATTATGGATAGTCCCTTTGAAGTTTGGCAAAGTATCTGTAACAGCCTGAGAACAGGTACGTTGGGACGTTAAGATAGACGTTATCAACTTCGCAAATACGATAAGGGACTGGTTACACGCATCGCTCTCGTTCATCTCCCCTCCCCGCTACTGGCAACATAGATCACTGACCTTGGATAGACGTATTTGGTCCTGAATATCCTCACATGACCTATTGTGACCTTATCATATATTATGATGATACCACAACATATTTTCAGTGGGGTGTTCGAGGTCTGCGTCCGAAATTACCCAACAACAATGCCTCTCCTGAGCTCAGCATATGTTTTTTTCTTCGAAAATTACCCATAGAGATAGGTCATAACGTGGGCCAAGGCGATGTACTCTGTGATCAAATGATGATTGTACATGCAAGTTAGCAATCTTTTCCTCATACAAATACACCAAAACTACACAAAAATACGTACAAATCTACATTGTTCACAAAATAGCAAAAAATCGAACTCGCTTAAAATCACGGACTTTGCAGCTTCCAAAAAAATATGAAGCATACAAAATGTATATACTATCATGTTCTATTACTACAAAAAGTTTAAACCGCAGCAAATGGCCCATAAAAAGGTATGTGTGGGTAAAAGTTTTTAAGAAGTTGACCTGTTTGACCTGATCTAGGTCACTGATCTTGATATACCAACGCTTAAAATATGCACGAAGGATGGCAGTTTGATAGATAAACAGGTACTGAAAGTGTCGTGTTGCTGCGAACGTTTGTTTTTGGCTCGTGGTCAATGGTCAATGCAGCTGCTGGCGCTCAGTATTAAAGGGACGTGACCACGTGTGCGCCGTTCTCCTTTCTAAAGATCGCATTCAACGCTTTGACGTGGCATGCAATATCACAGGTCACATGTGTGATGCAAATGAGTGTCCTATCTCATTGACTTATCCAATGCCATTCAATGCCGTTCCTGCATTGTCCTGTCAAGGGTTAATTTGACTACGGTGACCTGGTTTTAACAGGAAAAGTACACAATCTGACTCACAATTGCCGAGATATATCTATAGGATGTAATTTGATAACTTCTAGAGAATGCATACCACAGTTTTCCAATGCCGGTTTTGCGTAGCCTTTGCTGGCCTAGAGTTTGAAATTTTAGGTGGCCCCTGAGGCCTTTGAGGAAATTTCCTTCTTTAACGTTACTCCAGAACAGGTCACTAGGAGCGCCCTTTCTCTATCCCAGCGATGCCGTACACCGTACGCTAACACCAGAAAATAGGAAATCAAGCCGCGGCACTCGCAGCTAAGAAGAAAAACCGAACACAAAGAAGCAGACGAAGAGGTGGTGCAGATCCGGCAGAATTTGTCAATTATCCAATGGACAATGACAAACCTTATAGGAGAAGGCTCAAAGTAGTGACAGCTGAAGTCAGCTATTAACAGTCCGCTAGACACTGCCCAGTGAACTACTTGCACTCATTCAGTGTAAGCAAAAGTTATCGGCCATACAAGTCGGAGAGGCAATTAACTAGTCGATTTCATGCTGGCTATTGGGCTGGATCTCCAGGGAGTCCACTCAGCTGAACGGAATTGTTGCTGAGAGACTCCCAAAGCCAGCACCATTAATTCGGGTATTTGTTTATGGGCATATCTATGCCAGTAATTATGGAACATGAAGGGGGCTAAGCATGGAGCAGAGAAATTTTTCCGCCGATTCGCGGAGAAACCCTGCTCGCGATCACAGTGTTGATGCACGGACGCCTGTGCCAGGCGGAGTGGATGATCCACCTTATCCTCACAGTTGGGCATACCTTTCAGGGCGGGAGCGAAGTTGGCGTAGCCGGCAATGGGTGACATGGCGCTGAACTGGCCCAGCACCAGATCGAGCAGAAAACAAGGTATCCCCAGCACCAGCAGGAAGATGAAGTACGGAACCAGGAACGCGCCGCCCCCATTTTGGTAGCACAGGTACGGAAACCGCCAGACGTTTCTCAGGCCTGCAAAAAAATCACGGCTAGTGCATCGACGGCGCAATGTCCTGGTATTTAAAGCCTTCTTTGTAAAGACGATGCGCTGAATTGACAAGCGTTTTCGTTCATGCAAGTTATCAACGCATTCGCTTAGGTCATCAGGTACTGAAAAATGCTATTGTGATATGCTGGCGGAGGTTTACATACATACACGTTGAGTACGGGGTTTAGTAATGACACATTTCGAACAGCACATCAATCAAAGCCTGACACTGATTGCTTTTATAAATGTTTCAATACCTGACAAGACGCCTCTGCAGCTGGAGGCAGTCTATGTCCTTACCAACGGCAAAGCCCAGAGCAGACATGATAAAGTCCAGCCGGCCCGACCAGTTGCCTCTTTCCGGATTTTCGTCGCCTTCAATGAGGTGCCTGGAACCAGCCTGGACCGGACGCGGTGGCACGGCACCCTGGAATGCATCAGCCGTCTGACTGCCTACCAACTAAGTACCTGCTATGGCGAAACCTCTCTCATGAAAACCTCCCCAAAGGATTGCTCGTTTACAGATACCAAATCGCGCATATCGTTCAGGCGCGAGAACAATGATGTTGTTCAATGGAAAGCTTGCACCGTATGTGTTATGGATCTGTCCCAATAGCTCCGTTGGCTGCAGCGCCTGCCTTTCAATTCACCCACCCACGGCGCGGTGGGTCCGGGCCGCTTGAGCAGCTCACTATTTCCCCTTTGACAGGCATGACTTGCGGCCGGTCATCCACTCCAAGTACTGGGACTAAATCTTAAAAATGACGAAGATACAACAGCTCCTTTCATAATGTAGCAATGTGATGCAAACATATACAACGCAGTGCGGTAACCAGGCTGTAAAGAACTGATCCACGTTTGCATGGGGGTTTGATCTGAGATAGCCAGATACATGGCTATTCCGTGAAATTCACAACCATGGCCCGCTTGTGACCAAAAATGTTCTAGTCTATGAGCTTGACAAAAGTGAATTGGTGCCGACTTTGTCGTTACAGCCTATCATATATATGCATTACGTCATAGAAGCGTCGCGAGAAAGCTACATATCTCAATCACACTTCCCCACAGCTCCCATGAGTCACGATCGACAGTAATCGGTTGTAGGAAATTTGTTTCCAAGCAAGACATGGGGCAGATGTTTCGTGAGCGTTAACACTGCCATTGGTCAACCACGCGGCAGCCAGTGGACGTAAATGGGCCAAAGATGGGTTTTATTTCCGATCGCTAGCGGCGAATACGGCACGTCCTGCGGTCTCGACATTGATATTGAAGCAATGAGAGTTTGGCGCTAACTGCACTCCAATTTCGGTTCGGCTGTAACTCAGACTGAATTTGCCGCATTGCATTGATGTATATGCTGCACCCGTTCGAAATTAATGCCTTGAATTTCGTTGTACCTATGCGTGTCTACCTGCCACCATATTACTGACATATCAATAGATAAGTTGATGTGCTGTAAACATGGGCATGACGATACAAAATAGCGACAGCGTGAATGTAGCAAGAACGGTGGAGATATGTTTTGAGCAGCTTGATTTCTGTCCTTGGTGGGACAGCAATCATTTGGATTAGCTTGCTGTTGATAAATGCTGTCTTACGCTTGCTCGAAATCTACCCAACACTAGACCAACCACCCTGAGGCAGCTCAGACTATCTTTGGTCCTCCTTCTTAGCATGAGCTGGCCCTATGGCAAGGGTTATATCCACTGATATAACCCCTAAATTAGACTTTGAGATGCATGATGGGATCAAATATCAATATAACAGCATGCAAATCAGTACCAATCGTGAGATCTCATTGAGACTAATAAATTAGTGATTTTGCTAAGCTCTATCTTTATCAGGTTGGAAACGCCAGGGATATCGCATTTTCCCCGCTATCAATTCACGTTACGAAAAACGGCGAATCTGATTGAGTGTTAAAGCTCTCAGTTTACAGCCGATTAAAGGGAGTGTTCTACGTTTGTGTGGGGTTTTAAGCTGAACTAGCCGTTTTAAGACCATTCGGTGAAGTTCACAGGCCTGCCCTTCTTAAGACCTTAAACCGTCTAGTTTCTTAGCTATACGCGTGCAAAGATGTGCAGACTATGTTGTGCCGACTATTTCAAGGTCATGCAGGCATATATGCCCCGTATCAACGTCATTCAAATCCTGCCACCCCATAGATCATGTGGCATTTAAGGCCAAAAAGAAGGTTATCGTGAAGCCTTTCAAATCTGGCGTCCGTAAGCACGATTTGCAAATTTAGCGGACGTCGGTTCGCACTCAGTGTTGAGCAAGCACAACAATGTTGAGCAATCTGTATACGTTTCACTGACAAATCGCGATTTGTGCTACATAATAAAAGAAATTGGGCATAATGTCTTATTTCACGGCAGTGTGAATTGCAATCGAATAAGCTGAGGATAGCTCCATAGCAGAATATGTACATACAAGTAAGGAATTAAAATCACAGACGGATATGCACAAACACTACAACGAAGGGTAAAAACAAGAGCACGCAATGATGTTTGGCTCAGCAAACACGTCCAGCACCGACAGTGCCATCTTCCGGCGAGGTGAAGTGCTACACGTAAGTGCTAAGGTGACAATTTTGCTCGGCTATTTTGGCAGCATCTCAACGTCACACACGTTTCACGACACAATCCAACAATGACGTATTGAACAGCATATTTTGCTAAAAAAGAGAAATGCTGCTGTCTAAAGGAGGCTTTTCCACTGAAAAGTGTACTGATAGTTATGTGTGCTCATTTCATCATATCTGATGCTTGCTCTTATATCTTGAAACGTGGATCATTGCGTTCAAATAAGCACAAGTTGTTTTGTAGGGTGTAGTCTGTGCCGTCGACTAAGAGAAAATTCAGATCGCCCACCAATTCTGTTGAGATCCCTGCAAATTTGGCAGAATGGATAATAATAATACCTTCCGGGGGTCCGTACTTTTTCAGCGTGAGTCCAAGACACCCCGTGTTCGAGTTTTGTTTCGCTCAGTTTCTTTGAATACAGCACCATCCATGTAAAGCATCAGATAGCATGTTTGTACATTTTGTAAGGGAGGAGCAGAGGGAACTGCGAGGAAGCATAAAAAAACGGAGCTCACAGGACAGGGGTGCAGTGGGGCAAAACGGCGTGTTTCTATCAGAGATGTCAAGGTCCTAGTGCGACCTTAAGGGACTTGAGGGATAAAGGGACTTGTCCATATTTTAAGGAACTGGGATGTATGGCAGCCATCTTTGACAGCGCGTTTCTTTTCCCGGAATCCATAAACAGGAGAGAGTGGTGGACGTGTCACTTCGCGTATGTCCAGCGGTCGGGTTGTGCCGTCAGTGACGGCGCGGCCGACGCCTAACTCTCACGCAACATGTGTCAGCTCATGCACGTCGAGGGGCGTTTCCGGGTGACCCCAACATTCACGTGCGCTGGCTCTGGAACACTTCGGGCATGTAGGACATCATAGCAATATCTAGTGCACGGCCTGACATGGGTGAACGTACTGAGCTTGCAGACAACGCGAGAGTTTGTGCTGAGTGACAGACAGCCGGTGCCGGAATTAACGGGCGATGGACGAGCGGCAGAGTTTGTGGACTCCTCAATGTTCTTGACAGCGAGGAGTAGGAACGACGATGACATAGGCGACGGGAGGTGGATGATAGGACTCCGAGCCACTGGGGAGAGGTGTCTTAAGGCGCAGCCGACAGCGATTGCAGCCGGTAATGACCGGAGTGTATATGCTATACTTGAATGACGTTGAGCTGTCGCCTTGGATGGGGAAGACATGTGGCGCGACAAAACAATCGCCAGCGGGTAGGCCGTGAACTGTCAGCTTATGGAGTGCTGAAATGTTTGTGGACTTAATGAGGTGTTCCGAGACGGGTGCCAGATTGGCATGGGATGGTCGGAAATGATAGAATGCATTTGGAACTGTAGCAGCTCTAGCTAAGTTTCGCCGAAATGGTGCGACGATAGGTAGGAAAAATATGTCGTAGGCTGAGCATTCGACGGCAAGCTGTGTATCTACTTGATCGCGTATCACAGAGGTTTCGCTTGGCTAGCTGGTGGCGCAGAACGTATTCAAACGGATGGGCTTTGTAGAGACCAAAAGCGTTCGGCCATGTCTGAGATAAGGGCGTTTTTGGGTTGCTACTGCCATAGCGATAGGGGAATACAGCTAATGAACTAATACGTCTCTATGGAATAACACTACCATGCACAAATAGAAGATACTGTAAAATAGGCGAATTCATGTAGTTGATAGCAAGGCAGTTTCCTACTAACACTTTTGAATTTCATCATGCACAGGGAGAATGCACCGTTGGGAATTTTTTGAATGCTAGCTTATGCCCGTCATGCTAGCCAGATATCTGAATAATTTTTAGACGTCTAACGCCAATGTTACGTGAATGAGCGGCATGTAGAAAAGTACATGAAAGAAAGAGCCTTCTGTGCCAATGTTTATCCGATCAAACAGATGCACTGGCCTAGTTTTTATCGCGAGAGAAAAAAGGCAACGCAAAAGATGTAGGAAGCACTTTTCCTATCGTCCAAAGAACTTTTTGAAAGTCCTGGACCGAGATGAGGTTTGTATGGAGAATGCCAACTTTTGTCAGACTGTTGCAAACTTTGAGCCAGACTGTTAACTAGGTTGTTTAATCGGTGATGTAGTTTGCACAGGACTTGGAATAGTTCAAAATGAGGGCCCGAAACATGCCAAATGTACGTTACGGTGCTCACTACACCTGCTGTCTGATTCACGAAGTTATGTAGTGTATTTGTAGTAGATTTCATTCGTGAAGTCATCGCGAGTACCTGAATGTTAGTGTGAGTGACTCTGTTTAGCTGTTTGCGTTTACCATTAACAGCTTTTTGGGTCGAGTTTATAAGAGCAAGGGCTCCATTGAAATGGCGAGTCAGTATTTTGTCCTCTTGTCATGGTATCGGCATTTTAGCCTGGAGATGGCCTTTTCCTGCTCGGTGGCTATTCCGAACAGATAAGACATAACATTACCAATACCACTGATACATTTTCGTCGGGGCCGTCCGTTTCTGCAAAATCTGCGGAAAGGCGTTCTACGGAAAAAGGATTCCACCATGTAAACCTTAAATCATGCTGGTGAGGCGTGTTATTGTGCGATTCACCCCTTATGAGGTAATTAATTAACAGTTGATGGAGGTAGTCCGCCAAGCCCTTTATATTCTTTTTTTGTCTTTTTGATTTTCTACCGTATGACTTTGCGTCCGAATCAATGACGTTTTAACTGAGATAGACCGAGTCCATGAATTGTAATTTGGTTTGATTTTACACATGGGGTGAAATACATGACTGGG